ATATGTATGTATGTATCGAGATATTCTCGCTTGAATAATTTAGAGAAGTTTTGACTACATATTTTCAGTTGTATCCTTTTAAATACAGCCACAATCTTTTTGATGCCATAATATAAAAACAGGAATATATATATATATATATATATATATATATATATATATATATATATATATATATATATGTGTGTGTGTGTGTGTGTGTGTGTGTGTGTGTGTGTGTGTGTGTGTATGTATTATTTTATTCTGTATACTTTTGACATAGTACAATGTCTTTATCAGACTGTTGTTTATTTCAAGACAAATGTTGCACTGTTCATCACTTTCAAAGACAAATTTGCTGTGTTTATTCATATAAAAGTTAATCTTTTTACTTGTGAAGTGAAGAACGCTGAGTGAGTACTGCGACAGCTGGAATAATGCTTCAGGAGAGTTAACTAAGTATGATGTGTCGAAAGTTTTTTCAAAAACAAGTATTAATACTATTATTGAAAACCTTGATATTCTAGACTATCTATTTTACACATTTTAAAACATTTACAACAGCATAAATGTGCACAATCGCAATTCAGTATAATTCTTGTCGAAAATACATCTGTACTTTTTCATGAAAATTATAAACAGTTATACCATAATACCTATTCTACTGTAAGAGACTCTCCCACAGATAAGTAGTAGCAGTGGCCAGTTGAGCTCAGTGGTGTTGGGTGAGTCAGTCCATGTCGGACATTGAAGAATCAACCATCACAACGAGATTGCTGCGTCATGGATTCTTATTTCAGGTTCCTAACGTTTTGTACGTCGAACCTAATTTAGGACGACTTATTGAAATACAAGCCTCCACTTTGAAAACTACTCTACAACATAAACATTAACTAAATGTTCTCGAAGTTATCCATATTAAATATTGAAACTAAACCTTAATAAAATCAGCAACATAAAGAGTCAAATGTCCCACAGTTAACAAATAACGAAAATATTGATTGTAAAATGATTGTCAATCAAAACATAAAGAATAGAAAATGTTAATTTCTGCCAGTTGAATTTTGAAAGAAGACAGTTCTTTTCAACAGGCTTTAATGTCAAGATATGGGAAAAGTAAAAAAAAACACAGTGAAAAGTTTTATTGGCACAACGGCTTCATGCTAATCAGCATGTGATTATTGCAGTTTTAGTTGTTGGTTCAGAGTCTAGAATTTTCTCCTTTGAAACGGGTTTTCAAAATGTACTCCATCTGTGTCGGAGGGGAAGATATGCTTCTTGACTATTTTTTTTATCTCCGGTCTACTTGTAGTTGAACTCAGTGATTCAGCCTTGACGGAGGAAATTTTCAGACAATTTACATCATATTTTCATTGGTCAACCAACCATAGTTCGGGTTATAAATTACAGGAGTGAGGAAAAACCCTTTTAAATCCCTAACTCGAAAATTCGATTTATTATATACTTATTGGCTAATTAATCGTTATTTTGAACCTAGGAGATAGACAAAAAATCACTATTTGATTGCACTTGACATTTGACATTTAGGTCTCAAGGCAGCCAGGATGCTGTAAATAGGTCAGATACTACGTATGTAGGTGCTGTGAATTTTGACAGTCTTTGGACTCATAACCTCGCAGTGGGCTTTCAATATGGAGAATGACTAAGGAAGCAAAAATAATCAATAGGTGTTTTGAATTTTGACAAACTCGAACTTATTAAAGCCATTGACAATTAAAACAACCAAATCAGAGGAAAATGCTTTGTTTTCAGCAAAACCTTATTGATAGAATTTTGTTAGAAAAAATATATTCTTCTTTATTATTTTTAGGTGCCATTTAACAATCTCACCGTGTCACACCCTTGTGCAAATAAATTTAAACAAAACGAATAATTCCGTTATTATTTACTTTTTAGTATTTATACAATGAAACATGACCTAGTGCACAGGGTAGTACTTCGTATCTCCATTCCACCAGGTCGTTCCTGGCAGATTGACCATACATTCTCGAAATTTAAATCGGGAGAGTTCCCGTGATAGTATGTAGTACTTTAATTTACGCTCTAGTAATGCTTGCCAGTGTGATGGCGCAGGGTTCCAATTTTAGTTTGCTTCCTTGGAGTCACGTCCATTGCAGACAATGACCGCAGGACAACTAATCGTCAGTCCAGACAATAGTGTCTGGGCGTGATAAAAATCTTATGCAATCACGGATGACGCAATATTTTTTCAATGTCAATCAAATTTCCTTATACACCCTGAAAATAGATTCATAATACTCCACACAACTCAAATAAGGTAATCTGATGAAAGATGGAAATCCATTACAGCCTGTCATTCCAGTGGGTCGAAAACTGACCCTATGCTGAAAGAAAGGAAACTAAAGTAGTTGTTTCAATTAATTTACACAAGGATGTAGGTGCATGTGTGTGCGATCGCGTTTTTGTTTGTGTGCGTGTGGCTGAGCACCATATTAAAAAAAAATCTATAACTCACATAATTTTCGCCATAATGATCAACCTCTCTATATATAAATTTAAAAAAGGTTTGCAAAAATCATAACCTATCAACCATATTATTATTTTAATTGTTGATGTCTAGTATGACGACTATGAAAACAATCCAGTGTCAAAATATGTTGAAAAAGAACGTAAGGTGAAAACTTCATACGTTTTATTTATCCACATATTCCAGATTCAGCAACGGAAATTGTAATAAATTATTCCGACAAGTAATCACTTATTTCCTTAAGCGAAAACTTGACCATTCCGACTTGTACTGAGATCAATATAACGAAATAACACTAATCATGATCGCTTTCCAATAATCTGAACTTTGAACTTTACATATCTGCTTAATCTGCCCCAGTCGATATTTGCACAAGAAATCTAACATCTGATTAGAAAGTTTTTGACGTTTTGACCCAAAACTAAATATTTTGTCGATAGGAACTTTTCACTTCTTCACCTACTCTACCTCAACTTGACCACAATACGCTCGACACCAATATAGATGAATCTAATATTTGCATTCATATACATGTATAGACATACATGTGTGCGCTTGTGTATTTTTCAGTATGAGTTTTCGTACTACGATCTGCCAAAAAGTCCGCATTCACCTCAACAGAAATGTACTCTCTTGAGATGTTCTGCCAAGGGCATGTTCAAAGCGATCTCACAAAGAGTAATAACACCAAAAGATGATAGACAAAGTTTGTACTATAAGCACTTCACGCACACTCCTAAAATTTCCACAAGATTCGTTAACTTATAAAATTTAAATAATGTATTTTAAGCCGACATCATATTTATTGTTATAACTGTTATTTCTATGTTTCATTATGTTCACTCAAAGCAAGTCTCACACACGCACCTGTATATGCATAAACCTCTCTCTCTCTCTCTCTCTCGCTATATATATATATATATATATATATATATATATATATATACGATAAAATGCAAAAAAGAACAAAGTAGGAAACGAATCTAAATCTGTCATGTTTGACCTTTATTAAGGCTTCGTCAGCGACCGAAAATAGAAATGAAAGAAGCTATATATATATATATATATATATATATATATATACATATATGTGTGTGTGTGTGTTTGTGTGCGTGTATACATTCAATGAATCAGTGGATTTATTTTAAATTCAAAATTACTTTTTCTTGCTTAAAACTTTTCTTTTTTTTTTCTTTAGTTTGTAGTGACACACCGTGATTTTCATTTATTAGAGCGAATTACGTCTCTCAGATTGGTCATACCAGTGGTTTTATAAAGAACAATCTGCTCGCGACCAGAGTTCGAACCTACGACTCCATTTTTAGCTGAAAACACCCTTTTATAAGGCGTGCTGTGAGTAAGTGACGTAAAGCACACCGGTTGAAACGATGGTTTCTCTTATAAAATGGAGATAGGCTCGAAACCTACCAGAAATACAGTTTCCCTTTTTTTCCGTATATGCTTGTATATAAGTCGATATATTTTTATGCTGCAACTCTTGAAGTGTTGATATTAATTTTAACTCCTTCAGAAAAAATTACATGTGTATAGTGCAAACAGTCTGCGAAAATTCATGGTCTTCAGAAAAATTGCTTGTATATAGCGTGACTCCCTGTATTTCGCGAAAAAATATGTTGGCACGAATACACATGTGCACAAACGAGGGATGCTGTGAAATTTAGAATTTTTTTTTTTTTACAATTTATAATCTAGCTGGATTCATTTACAGTGATTTTCTTTTACATTCAATCAGTTTTGTTGGTAAGTATCCCACACTTTGATAATAGAAGATCTGCCAGGAATTATGACATGTTATAAGAAGCAAAACGCAAATTTACTGTAGATGACCTAACTCTTGGTCCTTACAGAATTTCATCATTCCTGGCAGATCTATTACAGTGAGGAATACCTACTAACAAAAATGATGGAAAGATAAAGGAAAAAAATTCTAAATGAATTCCGACAGAAAAAAATAATAATAAAATTTCTAAACTAAAATTCTAAAATTCCCAGTACCCCTCATTCGTACGCATGTATACTCATACTAACATAATAGATTTTTGTCCGATAAAGTCCTGAAGGACGAAACGCGTCAAATGTAAACTTTTTTCCACTTTTTCATGGAATTTCCTCAATACTTTTCTTGATATATATATATATATATATATATATATATATATATATATATATATATATATATATATATATATATATGGATGTTGGAAAACGATTGATTTGATGTTTAAGAGCCGACTAGTTCATTCTATTACAGAACTGTTAGACTTCACAAACAGATGACTTTAATGTAGAGGTGAAGGCTTTTGTAGAACCATCTAGATCAGTCGGAAAAACTAGTTTCCGAGAAAACGTATCAGTGTATGGGATAACGTCATTCAACAGCCCTTCCTTGAAATTCGTTTTCTTTCTGCTAGATAGCTTTCTAGCTATTTAATCAATAACTGCAAGAAGTTGAAATGAAATATTCCCCATGCTTATTACAATGGAGTGAGAAATGATATGGAATCAACCGGAATTTGACTTCGTTTATTTTCTTTCTAGATCGATAAAGAGCCACATATCTATCTATCTATCTATCTATCTATCTATCTATCTATCTATCTGTGTGATTGTGTGTGTATGTGGATGTACTAAATCCGAGTATCAGGGTGTCACTGTGTCACAGTTTTTCGGTTAAAGGGAGACAACTCTCTAACTTTCAGTAGCTAATGTTACAGATATTTTGGATTCCGAAGTTTTCGTTACTGCGATGGTTATCGGAGATTTTTTCTTTGATATTTTGCGACGAATAACTTGGAAATAAATTTGGGAATAACCGTAATAGATTGTGAAATCCAGCAAAAGTCATCCATGAAATAAAAATAATTGTCTGGATAGAAACTAAGGGCAGAAGTACATCAACTTTTCTTTAAATTAAGTTGCGGCTGCAGAATTATCGTTGAACATTTAAAAGGCAAACTTAAATATTTGTGCAATGTGGTAAATGCAGCGATTACATTTGAGTTCTCCTGCAGTTTATTGTTGCCTATCGCATATGGCAGCAGTATGCCTCTCAAAAGGAACTCTATGACAACAGAGGACTAGATTGAAATCAAAAGAGACAGGGTTCCGGCGAGGAAAAGGAAGCCCCCTACAAATAAAAACCCAGGTCAAATGGCAGCCAGGAGAGCTGTCATTTCATCTGAGTTTTCATGCTGAGAATATGGAATTGACTTAAAGACTTTCAAACTCCTGAACATGCTGAAGGCCCAATGAAGGGCCCTCCGCAGGAACTTGCTTGAATGCGGACCAATAGAGCGGGTTTTAAACTAGTCCCCCCCATATATATATATATATATATATATATATATATATATATATATATATATATATATGAATGTGGACCAAATATGCATTGAAATCCGACAAATGATAGGATAAAGTATAAATAGGCAATGTTTGTCTATCTATAAGTAATATTGTAAGATATTGTGAATTTTGATCCTGGGTTTTACGTGCGAATTTAAAGGGCTATCCCAAAATATATTTTACAGATGGCAAATGCCAACAGTATTCTTTAGTCGAAAAGTTTTGGATGGAATTCTGATAATTTACCAACCGTAAACACACTTCAAAATATCACCAAACTTTATTTAATCACCAAATTTTATTAAATCCATTCTTATACAAACTGACTTACGTTTATCCAATGTCTACGCAAGAACATCCCCAAATAAACACGGAAACAGGCCTAAACATAATTAATGCCAACTAAACACGCACACACACTTACGAATAGCCATTATCATCCGAATCGCACATAAATAAACTAGAACTATGATACACTTATATCCATAGAGCAATATTACGTTTTCTCAAGGAGGCTTGGAATTTGTTATTTTTGTGTGATTCGAAATTGCATGTCTTTCGTCCTTGACGCCATAAATTATACTAACCCTGCTTAACAATTCAAATTCACGTACAACCTGCTTAACCCATAGATATCAAATACCGCAAAAATAAAAATGACATGTTTTTCTATAAATCTGATGAAGCTTTAATATAAAGGAAAATTTTAGATTAAGAAGCGTTTAATTTTTGTTCTTTATCTTACATTCTGTCAAATTCGATCCGCATATGATCCCAACGTATATATATATATATATATATATATATATATATATATATATATATATATATAAAAAAAATATGCGGAAAAAACAAACAAAAATACTTATATATAATTATGCTGTTTTAATGTTAATATGTCAACGTCAGACGTTTCGGTCTGATAAACCATCTTTAGGACATATTGTATTGATAATGTTATAATTTATGAATATGTCCTGAAGATGGTTTATTAGACCGAAACGTCCGACGCTGACATATTAATATATATATCAGGATCGCACAATTTTCAAATAAATTGGAATCCGAGCAAAAATGGAAAAAAGGAAGCACCAGCAAAAAATCCTGTTACAAAGAAAAAACACTATACGTAGGCCAAAAAATAAAATTATACATATATATATATATATATATATATATATATATATATATATATATATATATGACTTTTTGTGTGCGAGCTTCAAGTCTGTGATTGTGTGTGTGTGTGTGTGTGTGTGTGTGGATGACAAATAGTGTAGACAAAATTTTGTTCCAAAAATATTATGCTAAACTATTTTTTTTTTTACTCGGAGAATGTCATTGTATTTGCTCTACGTAAATTATACACACACACACACACACACACACATATATATATATATATATATATATATATATATATATATATATATATATATATATATATATATATATATATGTATGTATGTATGCATATATATATATGTGTGTGTGTGCGTGTTCGTAAGTCTTTTTGTATCTATCTATCTATCTATATATATATATATATATATATATATATATATATATATATATATATAGAGAGAGAGAGAGAGAGAGAGAGGTGTTCAATTCGTTTACATAGACTTAATTACAAAGGCGGGTATAGCACACCTGTCTGTTTTTCCGCGCCCATGTGCCGCATAGACGGACAAGCACATCGGAAACAGGCTGCGACAAACACCCGCATTTTCATACTACATCTTCTCCTTTCCCCACTCATCTCGTCTTTTCACTCGCCGCTGCAGCGTATTAATCCTGGTCGATCTTTGATGATGAGATTAAGCCAGATTTATCCATTAATTCATTCGCCTTTCTATTTGTCTGTCACTTCGTCAGATCGACCGACCGTTAACTGTAGGACGGACGGACCGATCGATCGACAACGACACTCTCACAGACGCATTCACGGCCTGCCAACGTTTGTCTTCGGTGCTGTTAAGTTTGTGCGCGGAACGAAATAATGCGAACGAAACGACGAGTGTGATCTTTATGAGTATACCAGCTGCATTTAGAAAACTCTCTGCAGATGCATACCATTACTTTGATGAAATAATGTTTTCTGATCTTCTCAATTGAAGTACTTTTATAATTCCCTACCTTTATCAAGTTATGTTCTCAGATATGCTCAATATTTAATCGAAAACTCACTCTCTGTGGCAGACAAAGACACACGGACATGCTGGTTGTCTGCATACCAGCCAATAAAGCTTTCGGGCCAACTTTGCTTTTTATAGTTTGCCATTCAGAAAATATCTGTCTTTATTACCACAGACATCAGGGTATACCTGGTCTCTTCGATCATAAGTGAAATTCGTAGGGTAAGGCCTGGAAAACGGTCAACATTTACCATTTTCTTTACACTTACAGTTTGACGGTAAAACCGCGTAAAACTGTGAAACTCTGGCTACGTTTTCAACAATAACTATTAGTAAAAATTCCTCTACTACTCCACATTGAAACCGTTGCCTGAAACATTACCCAAACGACATAATGTGTTCATTGTCAGAATGATTTTCACACTTCTTATTTCAAATTCCATTGCAGTTGATATGAGAAACGCCAAACAATAAATATTTCATCTTCTTCTTCTTCTTCTTCTTCTTCTTCTTCTTCTTCTTCTTCTTCTTCTTCTTCTCCTACATACTCCTCCTCCCCTCCTCATTCTTTCTCCTATTCTTTTCCTGCTCCAATTCTTCCTCCTCTTCTTTTTTCCTTTCCTCCCCCTCCTCTTCTTATTCCTCTTCCTCCTCCCCTCTTCTTCTTCTTCATCCTCCTCCCTTCCTCTTATTCTTCTTCCTCCTCCTCTTCTTCTTCCTCCATTTTCTACTTCACTTCTTATTCCTTTTCCTCCTCCTCTTCCTCTTCTTATGCCTCTTCCCTCCTCCTCCTCTTCTTATTACACTTTCTCCTCCTCTTCTTCTCCTTCTTCCTCCCCTCCTCTTCTTATTCCTCTTCCTCCTCCCCTCTTCATCTTCTTCTTCCTCCCCTTCCTCTTACTCTTCCTCCTCCTCTTCTTCTTCCTCCATTTTCTACTTTACTTCTTATTCCTTTTCCTCCTCCTCCTCCTCTTCTTATCCCTCTTCCCTCCTCCTCCTCTTCTTATTACTCTTTCTCCTCCCCTCTTCTTCTCCTTCTTCCTCCTCCTCCTCTTCTTATTCCTCTTCCTCCACCCCTTTTATTCTTCTTCCTCCTCCTCCTCCCTCCTCTTCTTCTTCCTCCTTTTTCTACTTCACTTCTTATTCCTTTTCCTCCTCCTTCTCCTCTTCTTATGCCTCTTCCCTCCTCCTCCTCTTCATATTACTCTTTCTCCTCCCCTCTTCTTCTCCTTCTTCCTCCTCCTCTTCTTTCTTTTCTTCTTCCTCCTCTACATCTTCTTCCCGTCCTCCTCCTTCTCTTCTTATTCCTCTTGCTTATCCTCGTCCTATTCTTCTTCTTTGTGCGGTATCATGTCATTGTCGATCATGGCTCGCCTTAAGCCCCTCACCATTTAGCTCTAAATAAGATTTATCTTTTTACCTTCGATCCTAATCAATATTCTACCAACCAGTGGCAATAATATTTAAGGTGTGGGTCATTTGTTACTTTCCTCTGTCTCTTTGACCTTCAATATACATTGCAACATTCTCTAAGCCTTCTTTTCTCATTTTATACCCAAGACATTTCAATTGACTCTTTCGGAATCTAACAATCCTTTTTGTTTCCCTATAATTCCTTCTCGTCGTTACTCACATGTCATTTTTCTCTTCCTTAATACGTTACTTAAGATTTCGAAGTCATCGTTCGCTATCTTACTGCGCCTTCGGATTTCGGTGACGCATTTTCCGTCCTCTGTTAAAACAAATCCTAGATATTTAAATTTTTACACTTGCTTGACGTCGGTCTCATCAATCCTTAGTACGCATTCTTACAACTGATAGTTTGTCTTTTCTTTTTTTTTTCCTTTACTACTTTCTGTAGCAGTTCATGTAGTTTCCTTTCTTTATCTGTTATCGAAACTGTATCATCTGAAAAGAGTACACGACCGTAATCACGTAAGGAAAGCAGTACTGATCAGAAATAATAACCATATTAAAGAAAAATATATTTAACTGTCTATGATGTTTTATAACAGGCGGCGGAAATCAGGATACATAAAATCTGAAAGAGTATAGGAATATCGAAAATATCTTCCAGAATCTCTTCCAGAATGTCTTCCAAAATGTCTTCCAAAAGGTAACAGTAATAATTTAAGAAGAAACAAAGAAATTGCTGATTAGTTACATATTATCAATCCTTGTATATGCTAGAAAATGTTGGACAACTTTCTGCTAAGTTAATATTCTCAGGAAAAATAGCCGAGAGGATGAAAACGATGTGTCGTGAGTTTGGTGACAAAATAATTGTGAGGGCAATCTTTGTACACTGAGAAAACGGGTAGGCAATAACTGAGCAATAATGCGATATCCCAGGACATGTGTAGTGGAAAGAGAACATTATACCCCTGTAGATGAATTCAAGCGTTCAGATCAGAATTCCCCGCAGGTTACCTAGATCGATATACACCTGATGTACAATCAAGTCCCCTAGCGGGTGAATGTAATTTTCGCGGAAATCATAATAGGAATAAGGTAAATGGACATTTAGTTTTATTTATTCATCATCATCATCATCCTTCGACCTCCCTCTGGTTGGTCGGAACTCCATTGACAAACTCTTTCCATGTTGTTCTGTCCTACATTCCTTTCCCCATATCTTCAATGTTCAACCATGGGTCCAGAGCTATGGTGTCTGGGAAAGTCACTTGTCGTGAGAATACACTTCCAGAACGATGCCATAAGATTAAGGATGAGACCATTTCCCTGTCCGCTCGTTTGCAGTGGCCAGCAAACTGTAATCGTTTTTTGTTTGAGCTTAAGAGAGACAGGTCGCAGTTCTTTAGTTCTATCACAGACACAGACGCACGCATGCATACACATACACGCTCATTCACACACACACACATACATACACATGCGAAATATGTTGTTTAAAAAAAAGTAATGTCACTTTGCTAACCAGGCACATCCTCTGTAGCTAAATGTTATATGACAGTTCCGTATAGGATACAGGTTCGATTCCTGTCGGAGTATACATATTTTCTATGGATATTCTAGGACACTGAAATGTAGTTAATCCTGTTAATTATAAACGGCGCATTTACTTTTGATAACAACGTTTAAGTTAACGACAATAATCTGCATATAAATAAATTTATGTGAGTGCAAATAGAGTTTGTTTTGTCAAGATAATCCATGAAGATTTTAATCTAGCACCCAAATTTATCCCCAAGCACCCCAGCTTGATGTATCTTTGCATTTTCAGTCGAAGACATTAATCAGATAAATTAAATTAATCAGCGAACCGTGTTAAATTAATCTACTCTTAAACTGTTTACAGCGAAATAACATCCGTTTTAATACTTTGAAACTGTATTACACTAACATATATTTAATGACAGGAAATAGCAGGTGGTGTATAATTTGTCTAGAAATATAACATTACATATATTTGGAAATATACTCGTAAAAATACTCGTAAAAATCATCGATTGGAACTTAATGATATTCTACAGGTTGGGCCAACAATAGGCTTACACTTGCTTCACTATTTGTTTCACGTTTCGCCGAACTGTTCTTTCATCAAGATTGGGCAGGTCCCCATTATGCATTGGCAGTAAGGGTTTACATTAACCAAATTTTTCACAGCATTGTTTCGAAAGAAGAGGCAGCATCGAATGGCCAGCAGGTTTATCTGTCCTAAGACCAATGGAAAAACAGCATCACCAACAATAGATTCCAAAACTCTAAACTCTGGGGGAGAAAATCGCTTTCGTTACCTTCCCAGTTCAAAGCAATAAAGAATCAAAATAAACGATCAAAATTAATTTTTAAATGCAGACACGGAAACAAATTTTTACTATTTTACTTAAAAAACGAAAAAGTATAAACATATTAGAATAATAAATAAATAAAATAATATAAATAAAAAATACAGTAAAATAAATTAATTCGACCCAATAAATAATTAAAAAAAATAAGTTAGTAATAAGCAAATTAACACACCATGTGCGCAGAGATAAACACAAGATACGTAATAATAACAACCAACAAGAAAATAATCAATAATAAAAAAAAGGGTAAACAACACTATAAAAAGCCAACAACCTGCATCTCGATCTACAATAATTTCCACTCAATAGCCCCTAAAATAATTTGAAACATAACCGTTACCGTCTACCAAATTTACCCTAAGAAAAATACAATATAATGTCCAAGTAAAAACTCTAAAAACACGTAGATATCACTCGACGATTGCGTTTAAGCATGCAACAGTCTGTCGTCTCTATGTGTTAACTTTAATATATATATATATATATATATATATATATATATATATATATATATATATATATATATATATATAATGGAAAATATATAAACTATAACTTAGTTTGACTCAAGCCTAGTGACTAAAATTGGCTAGATGGAACTATTTAGGAGCCGTCGATGTCTGTGATAGCACAATGTCACAAGTCATAGTGACAGAGAGTTGGAGCGTACAAGACTTTAACTAAAACCCGTTCACAAAAATTACATTATAAACCAGAGATGGCTGTTAAACAAAGAAAAATGTGCCTGAGCAGACGTAGGCAACAGAGATTAGATCGTTGCTCACGTAGACAGGCATACGAGCGGCCATGCATTATATTATATGATATATATTTTGTCGTAGCTGATTGATATTCGAGCAGGTAGGAAGTTTTCTAGAAACCTATCAATATGACAGTCCCGCCATTCCTGCAAAAAATAATCGATATGCCCTTTACAAATACTTTATTCCCCACCCTCTATTCTGCTTTAACTTTTCTCTTTTTCTCTCACCAAAAATGTGTTAAAATGTGCGCTTGTTTATTTGCATTTCAATCAAGAGCGTAACAGATCTCCTTCTATGTGGGTCCACATGCTCCACTTATTCGCCCCACGCTGATCAACAGACAAGAACAATATGTTATTAATTTTTAATGAACTTATATAAAATGGCAGTAATAATATCTGATATAGTAACAACATATGCCACAACAAGAAAGCAAATAGATTTCATATTGATTTGATTATATAAATTGTGTACCCCGTGCGTTGGGGAGATAAAGCCACTAAGACGAAAAAGTTTGCTGAATATGAAAGAAACTGGGCAAATTCTATTGAGAAGAAAGGAAAAAGGAAGCGACAGGAATTAAAAAGCATAATATTAATATTGGCGATGCAGTTACATTTTTGAAGCTCGTAGATGACAAGGAAGTTAGAGAATTGTGAGAGAAGAAACTGTTAGAATAGAACTTCCGGTTACATCTAGCTATTTCAACAGTAAAATGAGGAGACCTAACTTCAAATCTAGTAATACGTTTAAATACATAAAGCCAACGTACCAAAGGAAAAAAAAGGACATCATTTATAGAAATTCATAGGGAACCGAATTTATGGTGGTGAAAAGGAACAACAAGTAGAACAGCGAATTCATAGTTTTTACTGCTATAAATTCTACTAAAGATTTTTTAATGAGAGCTTTCGGGACTAGTTTAATTACCGCAGCCTAAAAACAAATAATTTGGGAAATCTAGTGCAGTATAGGATGTGCGTATCGTGTAACATTTGTCCCTAAAAGAAAGTGAAATCGAAGTGTAGCATTTTGCCTGATGCTGTTTGATTCATTTAGAACCAATGCCGCTGGAAAAGTCCTAAAACGATATTTCTCCAGCTATGGGTTAAATAACAAGATAGACGGGGACTCTTCAGTAGGTGAAGTCTGCTTTCATTCAATTCAATTCCCGCTTGATATTCTGCCCATCTATCTAAGCCTAGACACACTTAGTGGTGTTTTGGTTGCCCTGTATGTACAATATATCTACAATTTATGTGGTTTACAAGGCACGTACTTGAGATTGGGATATTGAGATAAAACGCATGTGGAGAGTGTGTGTGTTCGTGTGTATGTTTCTCTGTATGTATGTGTGTGTGTGTGTTCACGCGCACAATCGCGTTCGCTGACGCATGTATCCTGAGCTCAATAGTGTAAGCGTTGATTATGGACAAAACGTAGTCCTGATTGAAAGAGATTGTGGGAGATTCTTTGAAAGTACCTGAGGAGGAGGAGGAGGAGGAGGAGGAAGAAGAAGAAGAAGAAGAAGAAGAAGAAGAGCAGCAACAATAATAAGAAAAATAAGAATGTATATGGACGTCCTCAAAGCAACATGAATACTAATAGAGGATATGCATTATTTTTGTCTTAATAATCCATTATGTTTAAAACGAGACACTATCCAAATAAGACACTTAATCCATTTTAATATGAAAACTAACGTAG